AAAGGATACTTGAAATATCCGCAGGTAAGGTTCCTAACGGACTAGAAGGTTAAAATCCACTATGCGGAGGCAGTGAAAATGTTTCAAGAAAGCAGGAAGGAACGTGCGTCTGGAAGAAAGGAGTTGCGCAGATGGAGCAGAGGAGAGAGGAAGAGCCGGAAGGTGATTCATGTCCATTGATGGTTTGGCTCTGCAATATATTCAAGAATGCTTCAAGTGTTTTCGAATTCAAGATGTCGTATGGAGACAATATATGGGAATGGTAAGGGGGAGAAGAGTTAAAGATTGGAACTGTTTTGGACTGTACCAAGTAGGGGGGGGCGAAAGGTGGATGGAACTGGATCTGTAGAATGAGTGGCAGGGGACAGAAGAGACATGAACCTTGGAGGGGGCAGAAGAGGAAAGAACTTGGGAAGGAACAGGGAGGAAGGTACATTACGAGGAGGATGGTGAACCTTCTGCAGCTTGTAACTCAGAGCCATGAGAATGAGAAGAACTAGTACAGAGACAGTGGCAGAGGTAAAATGAGGAGGGTGGAAGATGGTAGGAGGGTGTTACCGGGACCTTTTTTTTGACTTTTGGAGAAGTAAGGGACGTTTGGGAAGAGGTTGTCGTACGAGGTCTCGTCGACGAGGCTTGTAGAGAGAACTCGAAGAAGCCGAGACTTAGACTGAGGGTGTAGAGTAGGGACGTCTGAGCCGAGGACAGCATAAGGATTAGATACAGGGAGTGATTATATGGGAAGGTAACCACAGAGGTGGTGTAGAAGATGGGATAACCAGAAGTTGGGGGACGTTTGAAACACAGGGAATAAGAAACTACGTGGGAGTCTCCCTTGGAGGCGAGAATGAAAACTGCCCAATGGCAGAAAGGGAGACCTTCTGTCTCTTTGTGTAACGGATTCCCGGCTCGTAATTTAAATAGACGCTACAACGGCGAGAGTACGAAGGGTGAGCTCAGACAGTTAAGGCAAGAGGAATCATTGCAGAGACTATAAAAGAATGGTCATCGGCACCACAGACTGGGCACTCGGCGATAGATCTGTCAATATTTTCGCTGGAATGGCCAAATCGCCACAATTTCTACACTGTTGTGGTATGTAGGGATCTACCTTTCGAACTTGTAATCCGATGTCCTGTTATAAACGGATGGGAGTTTCTCGGCTGTCCAAAAGTTAAACGAGCCACATTGCTAGGGTATCGTCCTTCTTCCCCCAAGGTCAGGAAGAACGTAAGTGCTACCGTGAGGATTGGGAGATCATTTGGAGTTCCAGCTGGTTCTAGAATGTCGGTGCCTACATGTTCTGGAAATTTTTGTTTGAACTATGGTATGGGGCATGAATAAATAGAACGGTACCACTACACAAGAATTGAGGGGAATGATGTTTTTTCAAAGGGTGACAGGAACAGTAATCTATATGGGAAAGACTGAGAAGAGCCTCCCGGAGCCTGGGTACATTCTGGTACGGTAATGATGCCGTACCGCTCTTAAGAGCATGAAAAGAAATAATCTTACCACATGGCGTAGGAGTCCTCGCCAATACTATGGTCAGAAAAGATAGCAGTAGAAAGTTGGCGTAAAGTAAGAAATTTAGTCCACTGTTCAGTCCTGAAACCTGAGCGTTAGGAAAGGTAGTGAAGGACGTGGTCCGATCGTTTCTGAAAAGAACGAGAAAGGTGAAGGTGAGAAGTATCATCAGCAGTAATTGTCGTTGACGTTTAAGGGCGTGGTGACCAGAGTTTGGTCCACGTGAACGGGTCGGCGATTTGAAAATTGTCCGCACCGTATAGAGAAGGCCGTAAGCATAGTCAGAGGAAGCGAAGGTCTGATAAATCGAAGGTAGTCATCGAAGCCTCAGTACCTGAAGCGGGTGAGGAATCAGCAACCGGCAATAGGTACAGAGGCATGATGAATGTCCTGAAGAGTGGTCCAAAGACGAGGCCGGGTCAGAACGGGTGCGGGTATCAAGAAGGGCCCGGGGGTAACCAGGTTCATGTGACTAGGGCTGCCATGGTTAGGTTACATCTTTTCTTTTTGTTTTTTTAAAAAAAAAAAGAAAGAAGAAAAGAAATAAAAATAAAAAAAAGAAAAAAAAAGGGGGACCACGGGGAGGGTAGTTCCTAGGAGGGATGAAAGGGGGCCAGAAAATCTCCTCCCAGCCCAAGAGGACCCGACACCGCTAGTACGCAGATTGCAGCATGGAACCCGTGCCATAGCCCTACCCTTCATGCCAGTAAACCAGCAATCTGGGATAGCAACCTCACATCTGCCGAGCTACCTCGGTTGGATACAAAAGAGAGGGCGGCCGGATATCCGCCACAAAAGAGCCAGTACTCCTTTCACCACCACGCCCCGGAATCCGAAAGGTGGCTTTCCAGAGCTACAACCCTCGCCCAAAGAGACAGCCCCAACAGCTACTTTCCGGGAATAACCGAAGGGATCGGGACATCCCTAGGCAATCCAGATTCACACAACGGCAAACTAACGCCACCCCAGCCAAGAAACCTCAACGAATGGAATGGACCCCGTGTCCTTCTCTACCCAGGAACAGCGGCGCCTGTGGGAAAATCCCAAAGGTACAAAAAGAGGAGAAGGGCAAAAGGGAGGAGTGGGAGGAGGAGGAGGAAAAGGTAAAAGGGGAGGATGGGGAGGATGGGAATAGGGGAAGGGAGATTGGGGGTAATTAGGTTCGGTGTCCCTTAGGAAGAAGACCTGATAGGTCTAAATTCCTCAGACCAAGAGCCGTCTTCACCACGGCCCAAGGAGCCACCCATGAAGAGGACATTTGTGTGGAAAAGCTCAGGTATTATTAGTTGGGTAGTTAAGTAAATAAAATCCAGTTATGAGCAAAATCTATGATGGCCACAGTGGGATTTTTGGAAAAGGTCCAGCATCCACCCCTGCTCCCTCCCACCCTGCCCCCAACACAGTTTCTGGAAATGTTGCAGGACCTTCCTCCGTTTATCATACCATACTAGTTCATCACCTCACATCTTTGGACAAACTTTCTTTTTCCTCCCTCCACCACCCCCTCCCCTTCTCACTAGCATTATTTAATTCCAGCAGTAAGGGCCTACCTGGCCAGAAAGAACCTAGAGTTCAAGGTTCCTCTGAATTTTATAATGCCTAGTCACAAAGCCATGCAGTCTCTGGACCCATATGTGCAAGTGGTTTTTAAAACAACCCAATACAGCACCTTTCAAGTCATGGGATTGAAGAGTTGGACATTTAAATGCCTATAACACAATCATGAAAAAAACTAACCACAGCAATGCAGGACAAACTAAAACTGTAGTCAGTTTTGGCATGCTTTAACATTACAGGCTCTTACACACATTTAAATGTCATTGGAAGAAGCATCCCAATCAAATGCAAACTGGTAAATTATGGCCTCATTGCAAAATACTTCCACTGGTTTTTCCCAACTTAGTGGAGTAAGCTCCAGGAACTTTAGATTTGCAAAAAGAGCACAAAAGGGGTTTGAAGATATGGAGGAAGACTAAATGAAACTATTACAGAAGAATTGCTGGAGATCAATTCCTGTGAAGAGATGCAAATAAGAGAATAAGAAAAACTGGTACTGCATTTACATTAGCAATCTTATTTTATTTTTAAATTTTCAAACAAACTGAAAAGAACCCCAGCAAATCGAAAAGCACTGCTCAGAAGCAGTCTGAAGCAGATGATACCTTATTGTTAGCACTAAAGTACTGCAGGGGAAAACAGCTCAGATACATTACACAATACTACAGCACTAAAATAATTATCAACTACAACTCTACATTCCTATTAAGAAAAGAACCAGCTATTCACCTCAACCTAGTAGGGTTACAGTAGCCATTACACCTGTACATCAATAAGCAACAACATTCAATACTAAAGCTATTAAAAAAAAACTTTGGGTCTCACGAATGTAACCTACTTTCCCCACAAGTCCTTCACTCATTAACACAATGAGTAAAGTATAGATTTTCAGGTACAGTTGTAAGCCAAGCATTACTCTAGAGGTCTACTGAATACTGAAAAATGTTAAATTTCCTTCATGTCCAACTAAATTTACAAGAAATTCACCATTGCTCAAAATGGTCAAAAAAATTTCATTTTTATAACACCAGCCATCTCCCACCAAGGTAGGGAGACCTGACAAAGAAAACAAAACACACTCAGTCAGTCTTGCCATAAGGGGGGACATCACCACAGTTCAGATGACCCTACAATCATCATCCCTTAGGGCTTTCAGAGTTCAGGCACTGCACTTACCACCTCCAGAAAAGAATTTCCAGCAGTTATTTTTTTTTCCTTATAGTTGTTTGGAGAGTAAATTAAATATAGTAAACCCTCAGTACAACAGATTAATAGGGAAGAACAGGTAGTCTGCAATGGTAATTCATGTGGATGGACAAGAAGTTTTGCTTGTAATAGTTACAATAACTTTTTTTATTCTAGTTTGTATATGGGTGATGTGGTGGAAGAGGGTGAGAGAAATGGAAGTTCCAAGATCTGAGCAAATTGATCTAATAGGTCATAATGCTTATGGAGAAGTTTTACAAGACAATCACACTAACAAGCTAAAACCATCCCCCCCCCCCAATAATACACAATACATACACTAAGCACAAAAAACATGAATACAACAGCATTAAAGTTAAAATAACCTGCACAGCCATTTATACTTTAGTACAGAATATAGTACTGTGCATAGTTTTAAGACCAATGTGGCAAAAAATTAAAGGGGTCTACTTCAAAGGATAATATTTTCAAGTTGAAATCAATGAAAGGTAATCCCTACAATGAACAAAACACTGAAGTAAGTCTATAGGTCTATGCTAGGCAGGTTAAACTTTTACCCATCATTTCCACTCTAAAGTGATATACAGCATAAGGAGGGGGTTATTAGTGGGGGTGGGGGAAATCACTTGAGCTAAGGTTATACTAGTGGGAGAGCTGCCATGTGGTGGTGGTGGTGGTGGGGGGAGGGTGTTTGTGTATGTAATACTTACTCCCTTCTTTCCTGGAATTGCACATTCCCAGTTCATCAAATTCAGTGTTCCATCCGGGTTTTTGTGGGTCTTGCAATGAAGCCCTGGAAGGCAAGATTTCATGGATTAAAAATTAGGACATTTCCAAACAAAACCATTATTAACTGGCCAATTCCCACTAACAAGTGACCCAAAGAAGGCAACATTCACCATCACTAGCTGGCTCTCAGAGGTTCAGACCTAGCAGTTAACCCACCTATCCATAAACTTTCCTGTGCCTACAGGCAGGCACTGTCACAATAGACTAACCAGTTCCTATTTTCTCCCAAGTCCCTCTACTCACCCATGCACAATGCTCTATAGTCTAAGAAACATCCAACCCTTGCCACAACACTCGCATAATGGAGCACTGTAGTAGGCCTATTGGCCCAGTGTAAGCAGGTTCCACACAGGAAATGACTAACTCTTGTAGAGGCTTAAAGTATGTGCTTAAAATAACCACTTACAGTTGCCCCCATCTACAACTATTACCAAACCAGTGCTTTCCTATATCCTTTCAATCTTAACATGTCCAAAATGAATTTATTGGCAAGAATCCTTAGACTATTTTCAGCAAGATTTTATATTCCTTTTATTCCAGTTATCTGTTTGTACACTTCACATGAAAGATTTACAGACAGACCTTGCTTCATTATTGCTAAATTAATACCAAAATCCCTCTCCAGCCCTAAGCTACCATGTCTAAATTTTTTGAAGCTATCCACATAACCACTCCCTATCTCTCAAACAGGTCTCCAGTAAAACACACCCAACTGCCTCCACTAATCAAAACTAAACAAATTAGTGATGCCAAGAGTAACATTTTCCTTATCCTTCACAATCATCTTTAGCTACTCTAGTTTAAAATATGTAAATTTTGTAAATTCACTTACATCCTTCCATTCTAATATGAATTACATAAAAAAAAAAATGTACTTACAAATGGATGATCTTTTCTCCATGCCTTTCTCTCCTCAGCAAGTCTAGCAATCGCAATCCCAGACATGACAAACCTGGAAAAAATACTGTGTTTAGTATGTATTTTTCAAACACTGCATATTGGTAGTAGCTTAAAAACAAAGTGAAATTTAGTAAACTATACAAATTTGAAAAAAAATAAACCCCACCCCCACCCCATGGGTCAAAAACCCTCAGGTCAAAAATGAAAGATAAAACACCCTTAGGGCAATAAGCTTTCACTGTCTTGCATAGTTTCTATGTAAATCATAGCACCCTTAATTATATGGCTATCTGTAAACTGGCTCGTGCATGCAGGCTCAACTCTTACCTGTCAACCCTAATTTTAAAAAAAGTTATCTAAATCCTCGTTCAATGACTACTATTACCAAACTCAACGATGACTTTGAACCTGCATGACATCACTGGCTTTTTAACCCTTCTGCTGACTGCCCCGTAGTACAGTGGAACCTCAAATTTCAAACTTAATCCGTTCCAGGAGTTAGTTTTAAAATTCATGAAGTTTGAAAAGCAAAGCAATTTTTCCGTCAATAAATAATGCAAATACAATTAATCCATTCCAGAAGCCCAAAAATATTCCCAAAAAATACATTTATAGAGTTTAATTATAGTTTTACAAAACAAACAAATATAGTATTACAATTATGTATTAATAAATTTAAATAAACTTTTAAAAAATATCATTTTTACTTACCTTTATTGAAGATTGGTGATGGCATCTGGAAGTAGGGAGTTGGGGGTTGGGTGTTTGGAAGGGTAATCCCCCCTCCATAAGGACTAGGTTTTAAAAGCCCTCTCTAGGGTTACTTACCTTCTCTGTCTTTTAATGCCACTAGGACCAGCTTGATCACTGGACCCATCTCAAAATAACTGTCCACAGTCCTCTATGTGCCTTTAAGATTTCCATAAAATGGGACACTTCTGTCACTGAAACCTTGTTGCAAAAGATGGCTTGTTTCAGCTTGCTCAGGGTGGTACTTCTCCATAAACATTTGGACATTATTCCACTTGGCACAAATCTCCTTAATATTTGAATCTGCATGCAACTCCTTGCCCTTTCACAAATAATAGTCTGAAACATTATCCCCTGCCATCCTCAAATCCTTGATCCACACCAGCAGCAACAACTCAACCTGATCGATTGTCTGGGGTCTTATTTTTGCTTAGGACATTAACACCTTTTGCAACATCGGGCTTCCTTGATTTGTTCTTTGCCAGGATAGAAGAAATGGTCAACTTGTTTTTCCCATGCATCCTGGCAAGCTCAAGTTTCACACCACTCTCATACTTCTGTATTTTTTCCCTTCACATTACAGTGTTTCTCACTTTCTTTACCACTGGGGTACCACAAAACTAGTTTCTTTCGGCCCATGGTAGCTTATTTCACAGTCCCACAACCCACTAACACAATGAATTAATCGTAAAATGTTTGAATGAGACCGCAGGTTAGTGTTCACTCAAGCATCAACAAAACCAGACGGGCTCATGGCACCTGCGCGGGGACGCGGACAGAGCAGGCTGGCGGACAGGGTCAGTCCCCGGGCGGCTCGAAAAAGGGGGAGATTTCGATAAGGGGGGACGTTTGTTCGAAAAAAAGCGGTCGATTTTCGAAGTTCGATAAGCAATACGTTTGAAATTTGAGGTTCCCTGTACAAACAGTTTTGAGGTCATTATCAGTGCTGTAGTTCTACACCATGAGCTCAGCTCAAGCTGTGAGCAAAAATTTTGGGCCAAACATATTAGAGAATAGGTCTATGTGATAAGGGGTGTCCCAAATATAAAAATCCTGCAGCACGCAGGGCATGCAAAAAAAAAAAAAGCTGCAACAATGTTTTTGGTACAAAACAGTGACTGCGGTGTATTTTCCTGCAGTTTTTATGGTTGTATTCTTGGTATTATTCGAGCGTGTGGAAGGTATTACAGAAATAGAGATGATTTTGACTGGTTTCAGGACTGAAAATAGCTTGAAACCAAACTCAAAATAGCAGAAATGTTAGATTTTTGCCAATATTCAAGAGTGAACAATCAAGTCCTCGTCCCAAAACACGTCCAACGGTGGGTCTGATATGCATTCACAAATGCACCAATATTTATTACAATTATTGTGGAACCTCAATTTACATGATTAATCAGTCTGAAAAAGTGAAGAAAACCAAATCATACAAAAACTGAAGCAATATTTCCCATAAATAATATAAATCCAATTAATCCATTCCCGAAACCCAAAAATATTAACAAAATATAAATTTTAGGGAAAAAACTAGTTTTACGTACAGAAAACAATGAGAAAAATAAAATAGACTAATGAAATGGAAAAAATGAATATTTAAAACCCCTTTTAGGGTCCAAGGCCCAAATCTGGAGTCACGCACCAGTGGTCCAAGAATTTTCAAAAAAAAAATTTGTTATTTTTTCTTATGAAATCGGTTTGAAAAAACTTTTTGTGAAGGTAATAAAACAAAAAGTAACGAAATTTGGTGGAAAAATTTACGAAATTATGCTCTCGCGAATTTTGATTGGTCAGCGGGTATTTACGAATCCGGGGATTTTGCCGACTTTGACTCCTTTTTAGGCCAATTACATTATTCCAATCAACCAAATTCTTAGCTATTTCACTAGTATTACTTCTATTCTATCGATTGAGCACAAGAAATCGCCAAGTCACTGTTTCAACTACAAAATAAAGTGATCGGAAATTGTTATTTGCCAATTTAACACAAAGTTCAAAATATTCCAATTTCAAAATAGGGTCCAGAATGAACAATGTAGGCATTCCTGGCACTAAAAAAACATTTCATCTGTTCATTAGTTTTTGTTTTGAGGCTTTACAAATAAATTCCATTTTGATTTTTTATTCACATAATGAATTTTTATTCACAAACCAAAAAATAGAAGATTTACTGTTATGCAATACTGTAATAATTGTATAAATATCATCACCATATTTGTGAATGTATATTAGACCCACCAAGCTGACGTGTATTAGATGTGTGAGGCGTTTTTTTTACTCTTGAATAACGGCAAAATTTAACATTTTTTGCTACTTTGAGGGTCAGTTTTTAAGCCATTTCCAGTGCTAAAACCAATCAAAATCATCTCTATTTCTGTAATGTCTTCCATTCTATCAAACGAGACCAAGAAATCGCAAATACAACTATAAAAACATACGAAGAAACACTGCAAATTGCTGTTTTAATCGAAAAATCATGATTTCATTTTTTTTTCTCTCATTATACACAGTGTGCTGCAGGATCTGTTTTATGTGGTGCACATATACCACATAGATGTATTCTCTCATATCTAGGCCCAAATGTACCACTCACAGTTTATCAGAGTGAGCTGAGCTCATGGCGTTAGATCTACGGGTTTTGGACCCTGAATGTAAAGCCGTAGATCTACGGGACGGACCCTGAAAGGGTTAATATCACAAAAAAGCAGCACTCATTCCAACATTTTCTTTGAGAACCACAAGCAACTGCCTTGTTTTTTTGCAAATTATCGCCTCCAAAACACTACCTCCCACTAACTTTCTCGCTGTCCACACCAACAACAACTGGGAACATCTTAGATTGTTTGAGATGTTCTGTTAGCACATTCACCCCTTTCGCAACATCAGCTTCCTTGATTTCTTTTTTCTTGCCAGGATGGAACGATCATTGATGCAGTCTTCCCATACATCCTGGTGAGATCAGCAACGCGTGTGCCACTTTTGTACTTTGCTACAGGTTCTTTCCTGAATTACATCATGTTTCTCACCTTTATCAAAGGGCTGGCACTCGGAACTTTCTTTGGCCCCATGGTGGCTTATTTAGCAGTCCCCACTAAATAAACAAGCACAAAAAAACAATGGATTATTGCGAAATGTTTTGGACGAGTGCACGGGGGTGATGCTCACTCAACGAGAAACAAAAACAGACTGAGTCACGAACGCATGGGATGCTTTGTGTGGACACTCAATTCCGGAAATGAGTGGCCGTTACATGGGCAGGCGGACGAGTTTGGTACAGACCATTTTCAACTGGACGAAAACCAAGTGGATGTACGAAAACTGGGACAATACTTCGACGAAAAAAAGTTGTCAAGCCAAATTGTACAAAAACTAGGGCATACGAAAACCGAGGTTTGACTCTTCACTAACAATGATGATCTGATAAGAAATATCACCATATCAAAAACAATATACTCAGATCACAACATAATTGAGGTTCAGTCATGTATGCGCGGAGCCCCAGACCGACATAATGAGATTAGTCACGAGGGAGCATTCACCAAATTCAACTTCAATAACAAAAACAAAGTGGGACCAAGTAAACCAAGTCCTAACCGATATAAGCTGGGAAGATATACTAAGCAACACAGACCCCAACTTATGCCTAGAACAGATTAACTCGGTGGCACTCGATGTATGCACAAGGCTTATTCCTCTAAGAAAAAGGAGGAGTAGATGTAAAACAGAAAGAGACAGGCGCTCCCTTTACAGGCGACGGAAAAGAATAACAGAGCGGCTAAAAGAGGTCAATATATCTGAAATGCGTAGGGAGACACTGGTCAGAGAAATAGCAAGCATCGAACTTAAGCTAAAAGAATCCTTTAGGAGTCAGGAATCGCGGGAAGAACTAAAAGCCATAAATGAAATCGAAAGAAACCCAAAGTATTTCTTCTCCTATGCCAAATCAAAATCGAGAACAACGTCCAGTATTGGGCCCCTACTTAAACAAGATGGGTCCTACACAGATGACAGCAAGGAAATGAGTGAGCTACTCAAGTCCCAATATGACTCAGTTTTTAGCAAGCCGCTAACCAGACAGAGTCGAAGATCAAAATGAATTTTTTATGAGAGAGCCACAAAATTTGATTAACACAAGCCTATCCGATGTTATCCTGACGCCAAATGACTTCGAACAGGCGATAAATGACATGCCCATGCACTCTGCCCCAGGGCCAGACTCATGGAACTCTGTGTTCATCAAGAACTGCAAGAAGCCCCTAACACGAGCCTTTTCCATCCTATGGAGAGGGAGCATGGACACGGGGGTCGTCCCACAGTTACT